AGTGAATTGTGGGTATAATTTGCATAATCTGAGGAGTATATCGTGATTTATTTCGTTCCACGTGATCGGCAGTTTTCCAATCAGATTGGCGTACCAGATTATGAGAGACAATGAGCGTTTTTATATTTTATAAGTTCCCTAAAACCACATTTTATAAACTTCACAGGTGTGTATAACCCCTCCCACAAGAAGCGCTGCTTATTTTTCATATACGAACCGTGACGCCAGTAACAGTGCTAAAAACTTGCCAAAAAGGGTATGCCTATAGGAAAACCCAAGAAGGATTAATTTAATCGGATTGCCTTCTCCAAAAATCTAACGTGCACTGCACTGCGAAAAACAGGCATTGTTTGCGAAGAATGTCATCGGTGGTGGCGTTCAGTCAAATTTATCACGTGCTAAATGCCACAAATGGAACGACACAGTCTGCCTCGGGCGGATATTATCCTGGCAGTTTATGCCAATGGACTACTCCTCTTTGGCCAGTCTAAACATTCCTCCCCTTTGGCAATTTGGTTGTTGATGCCCGCGGAAAATTCTGCATTTGCCCTTAACTTGCCCGTCATCCGAATACAAATCTTCTCCTACTGGAATTCCCCTCTGAGAAACCCTCCCACTGAAGATGTATTATTTTGCCTGCCCGTTGAAAATCCCTTGCGAACACATTTTTTCACGAACAGCTCCGTTGACTGCACCTGACTTCACAACACGTTTCTAGGGTAAAAAAACTGCGGTGTTTGCTAAATCATGCCATGCATGGTATTCTAACAAGAACGTTTTTCAGTTATTTTTTGGGCAACATATCTTCTGAATAAAGAGGATTCATCAAACAAAGTTGACGTACTCAGGACGGATGTACTTAATCTAAATCAAGTCTGTATTTTTATTGTCCACACATGATCATGAAGTTGACATTTGTTATATATTACTTTGTAGAATTCTATCTATTACACCAAAGGACAACTTCTTAACACAGTTCGAACTGAAATGCAAGGTAAATAATTCTGATATGTTTATATTGTCTTTATATTTATTATTGCACACGCTTGCACTCACATGACTTAATGTTACAGTATTATGCCATCAGTAACAGTAACCTTCCTCAGTATAACAGTCTTAAGTCTCAAATTGACCTTATTACAGAAAATGAACTACAAAGAGAAACAGCAGCACTTCAATAAAGTATTTGCCTATTATGATAAGGTACGTTATTTCAATTTTGTTAATTACATTCCATGTACGAAGACAGACAGATTGATATAAATCCAATCAATAAATTCTATAAATTTCATATTACAGAGTAAGACCGGAGCCATAGAAGGAGATGAATTGGATGCCTTTGTTGCCGATCTTATGGAGCCTGATATGGTAGGTAACTCAATACTAGTGTGTATGTGTATAAGCAATTAATTCATGGTTTGTGGATCATGATTCATGGCGTGAAAAATACATTTGGCAGAACACAAAATATATGGTCAAATCAGTGAAGTAATGGTATATCAACATTGAGCAATACAACGCAGAATTGTTTCAAATAGAATTTTTAACTGAGATGTACATGTACAAAACCAGTTTTCCCGAATTTCCCGGATGCAAATGAAATGTGATATGATAATATATGCACCAAACGAGCAAAACTTATCAATGTAAACTAAAGTGCCACTGTATTGTCCATTTCTCACCGTTACAACACTCGCCATAATGTTTTGAAAAGGAAACATAGCTTCAAGCTAAAGTATTCTCATTTTTAATTTAGGCTGATATCAGTACCACACAGGTCGATCTATACAAGAAAGGAATCTTGGCCAACTGTGACAAGAACAAAGATGGTAAAATACAGCGAGATGAACTACGACTTTGCCTTGGTTTGTATCTTGATATGGACATGTGAAGGGACATAACACACAAAGGGTTGGGTCTAGCGAAGAGCGTTTTTATGATGGTTAGCACAATAATCATCAAAATTGTATTCATTTGTTTGAATTTTATATTTGTTTATACTCTTTTTTCATCAATGTAGCACAACCAATTTAACATTTCCAAACAAATGCATTGTTCATCACCAATAAAGGTAACAACTTTCTGTTACTTTGGCACAAACAACACAACTTGTAGCAACACAACTACAATTTTAAACCAAAGGTTGAATAGAGAGCATTATTATATAAACGAAATGTTTAATCAGTTTAATGGTAAATGATTAATCTACAAACTACAAAAGTTGTGTTGACATACATTCAGGTACACGGGGATTACTCTCCTCCGTCATAATAATTTACGTTCTGGAATATGGTGTGCCATGTATAATTTACGATAATGAATTGATCAAATACTTGTTTTTTGAATAATCAGAAATTGAATGAATTGATACAACACGATACTAAAACTATTTCTTGATGCTGTAAATATTCCTTGGTTCGTAAGTTGTTTTGTTTTCACGGCGAATGAACGATATACTAGTTAAACCTGTATGACACTCTTTCTATATTCACATGGTACTTGATCACAAATCAGTCCACCTGATTCACAATGGAATTTTTTTTCAGTATTCCAAATGTGGCCTTGCGAGTGATTTTTCAACTTTTTCAGCAATGTTTACTGTATTTCTATGTTTTTATGTAATTAATATGTTTCAAACATAAAGTAATAAACTTAATTTATGGAATAATGAAAACAACCAATTGATTAACTTATACTTGTGTGTAACAGCACAGAAACACATCTGTGGAAAATTGTTTCACTTGATTCTTGAACAATAAAATATATGTACATCATAATACTGGACGTCTGATAAATTGTATTACCTGTGCATGCCCTATATTATTTTGTAATGTAGTGAAACTACGTATACAAATCACAAAACAGGCCATGAATACTCAGCTTTTATGTATGTCATTATCTGTGACATCAGAGATTTGGCATGCGCGTATTATATGTGCGTATATATTACACACTAATAGAATCTTTCATTGAGGCTGTTACCTTTATCTTTAGTTAACTGTCATGAATTTGTTTTCGCGTATCTGTTGACCGACTTAATTAGCTGATTATTAGCGAATTGCTGTGCTGTGTTATGTCTGTCATTGTTTAGGCCTATTTGAAGTTTTGGACGGAACTTGGCTCAGTGATTTGGAACTAATTACGAGATAACCATCGCTATTCTGACTACGATTTCTGACAGTTGGTATCCGTGGTTATTAATGTAGTGAACGATTAATCAAAAGATATGACGTATTCAGTACTTAGTGTGATTGGCTGTATGATTGAAGGTTACGCCCTAGAGTCTTAATGCTGCTTTGTAATTGGTTAAGGTTTTGAAAATGAATAAAGAGAGTTTGACTTAGTCTTGGGGAGTACAGTCAGAACAGACGCAGTCCTGGAGAGTCGAGAGTCTAGTCCTGGGGCGAGCCTTGAGGCAGTCCAGTCTTGGGCTAGTCTTGGGCCAGCCTTGCGATAGTCTTGGGGATTTTTCCCCAGGGCGCTGTGTCTTATAGAGTGCTCGATTGACCGACTAAGACGAAAGCTGAAACGTATTTCGTTGTGTGTGTCTTATTTGACTGTAAAGTTAAAGTGACTTTCCCGATCCCATACCTCAAGGGGACGCGATAGAGAGACGAGACGAGACGAGACGAGACGAGACGAGACGAGACGAGATTTCCCCCTGACACGTGTGGAGAACCCTGAGAGGAGATTTTTCCCCTGATATAACGAATGATTACAGTGACAAGCGGCTTCACCGTGGTCATTAGTTCTGTCTTGCTTGTTTACATGTATACAATGTGCCTGTAATTTATATTCCAGTCGGCATTTGTAGAAGTACATCAGTACATTGTGTGGTGCTGGAACGTGTTGTTGATTCACTGAAGAGCGGCACGTTTGAAGGTGAAGTTGAACAAGTGTTAAAGTAGGAGTACTAAAGTAATGAGAATTCAAAGCAATCTTATCATTGGCGCAATGGAACTAGTTTTATATGCGCTTACCTATTACAACATAACACTTGACACACAACATTATCCAAGGCAAAACAAGAATTATCACAGAATCGCCCCTAATTTGTATCACAAGATAAGAGAATTTAAAATACCAACTCTATGTTTATAACATTTCAACCATGAAATTTCAAATTTGATTTTTTTTCTGCCAATTCCGTTTCGTTGTCTGTCAGTAAAGGAAGGAATCAGATAGCATATGGTGAAACAATGTTGGCTTAGGCGAGATTAAAAGTTATCGAATATTCGCCATTTTGTTTGATTTTTTTCGAGGTGCACTATATTACGAACTAGCTTACACATTCAAATAAGGTGTTCCACATTTTTATTAAAAGGAAAAAGCTGACTAGTACAAAGGTAAACATTAAGATGTGTAATGGTTTTCAGCGATTAAGTTCATAGTTCAGATCGCCGACTGAATGTCATAAATCAGCAAAGAGAATTGCGCGAAATGTCAATTGCACGAAAAGAACCTGTCCTTTGAATAGGCCTGTGCATAAAACTCTAAGAGGTCTCTAACACTACCATTGAATCTAATCGTTCTATTTAATCTTATTGTTCAGGGTAACATCGTTTCCCTTGCTTTTATCTGGTAAACATGTTACACATAGTCACAACCTATCTTCTAATTGCAATAGATTCGTTGCTACTAGTGTTGAGGCTGCCTGGTTCTGAGACAGCTTCCTGCCTCGTCCCCGACCATCATTTTGACGGACAGAAAAAGATGTTACCCAAGGGAGAATGCATGTAATCCGATAATTTGCCATTATCTGTTAATCCTATCACAATTATTTATAGAGTTCCGCGTATCTACTACTTACTTATATCACGTACTCAACGAATAATTAGGGAGGAGATGATTTGTTAATTGTGTAAATTTATTCAAGCAACACATACTGTTCATATGTCGTCTTGTCTGACATTCTGCTTCATTACCCAGCCACACCTGCCTCATGAAAAATTTCTGAAATATCAATTATATTGGTTCGTAAACGCATAACATACTACTCCACTGGCACAAAACATATTACCTGGATGGGAAGACAGTTTAAAGTATAAGTCTTGCCTAGAAAAAGTGTTGAAGAAAAGAAAGGTAAAACAAGACTTTCATGGCGTCAACCATATTAGAAATACGTACACTTCAAAATGACAGCAGTCGATAATTTGTAGACCTCATTCACCAGAAAACACTACAGAAACTAAGCACACACAAGTCAGTGTACAGAGGAGGGAAACACGATTTGAGAAATAATCAATGTTTGGAAGTCATCTTACAGCTTGTGTTCTATTCTGATGCTCCATTGGAACTAGAAGCCACTCGCTATACAATTCGACATAAGAATATGCATTTTAATGGGCTGTAAAATTAATTTGTGAGATATGTAAACATAACATTTAAATATGAGTAGTATTAATTGCGTCAGCTTCATTATACCTTAACATTGACTTGACCACTTAATGACCAATGATATGAACTACATTGTTGTGCAAATCGTGACGTTATTTATGAAGTGTCAAACTTTAATAAAATGTCAAAAAATTGAATTTTGTTTGTGAATAAAAAAGGGACAGAGAGGGTACAGGGCAGCAGTCATTGCGCTGCGCATGTGCGACATTTGTGTTGATAAACATTGATTTTCCCACAATCCACTGCGCTCTTCTAATGGGATTCACAAGTATGATGTTTGACTCGGGCACGATGCACTAATTACCGCCGGTTGCTCTTTCGATACTTTCAAATCACCTAAAAAATACTTAACTAAAACTTTGTGCTCGTTGATCTGCGCAACAGTCAAACTCGCTTGTATATATGTGACCCATATATTTCACACATGCGTGTCGCAACAACTACCATGATTGCAGGTTTTTAACAAATTTATCAAATATGGTTGGTTTCAAAATAGTCATATAATTACCATATCATTAAGCCAGTCATTAAATGCTCTGATTTTTATCCTAATATAAAATATTTGTTTTGGAAGAAATGCAAAAATGAACAGTATTTACCATGGGAATCAATGTTAAAACATTATTTCATAAAAAATAATAATAAACATTCATATCTTAAATTCAACTGCAAGTACCATCTAGTGACCAAGTATGATTGTTTAGATATGGCGAGAACTGTTTAACATAGGACCCAATGGTAAATGGATGAACAAAATTATATCATAGATTTGTTACCTGTGTTTTCCCGAATAGTTTGGTGACCAGACACTTCACCATAATAGAGCATAGAATAAATCCATACTATAAATGTCAGGAAAATTCGATCAACTGTTCAAGTGGTAGAAAACCGCCCTAAGAACATTTCTCAATCCAACTGCTAGAGGGCATTCGTATCCCCGCAAATGTCTATGTATCGAAGGATGTATGTAGTTTGATTGGGAGGCAAGTAAATTCCTTTGCCCCCTGCAAATATAACTGATAGTCATTAGATAAATCATAAGAGATGTTTGCAATACATCACAAACTATTGATATTAATAGTAAATCACATAAGCTGAATATTTTCCCCACTTCGAGCAACTTCAACAATTTCCAACCAACTCTTCAACCAGTGTTTTAATTTTTCTAACAGTTTCAACTTTCCACTAATACTTTCCAATCAACTTTGTAGTTATCCAACCTACTTTTACTTCATTTTTATTTCTTGTTTCACTACAGTTATGCATGTTTTGAACTAACATTGGAATGCTTCTATTTTCTACCCTTCAATTTGAACTTTGCAAAAAACTTCAATTACTCTCCAACAGAAAAAAAGACACTTATTAACTCTGGTTGGAAAAGTTATCTATAGTACTTATAGCAATATATACCAAGTAAGGTATTATAGAGAGTATGTTACTAACATCTGGTTCCATTTCTGCATTTAATTTTATGTTTAAATCTTAATACATTATACCTGCAGGCCACACAAAAATTTAACATGGTCGATATTTCAAAAGGATTGGTAAGATTTCCAAATTTGAAGATGATCAGATAAGAAAAAAGAGATGTGGTTCTGGAACAGTACTTATTAATAGAAGTCAGCCATTTGGATCCAATATGATGTGTATCAAGGGACCATTATGTTCAAAGTATGCACAAAGTTTCGGTGTTAATATATCTCTTAATTCTGATTTGCAAAAAAGCTGCATCTGAAAGAAAATAACTATTAACATGTACCCAACTACGTTTATGTTCTTCAAAAAAGAAAAAGAAAATTTTTAATTTGATCTATTTTAACTCCCAAGACAGTGTATTGTTGCACATATATGGCTTGCCCAGAAAATCCAAGCCATGATGATCCATCCTTTAATTTCCATACAATACACCAAGCACTATGCAGCCACCATTGCTCTTAAATTTCCATACAATACACCAAGCACTATGCAGCTAACACTGCCCTTAAATTTCCATACAATACACCAAGCACTATGCAGCTAACACTGCCCTTAAATTTCCATACAATACACCAAGCGCTATGCAGCTAACACTGCCCTTTAATTTCCATACAATACACCAAGCGCTATGCAGCCTGCACTGCCCTTTAATTTCCATACAATACACCAAGCGCTATGCAGCTAACACTGCCCTTAAATTTCCATACAATACACCAAGCGCTATGCAGCCTGCACTGCCCTTAAATTTCCATACAATACACCAAGCGCTATGCAGCTAACACTGCCCTTAAATTTCCATACAATACACCAAGCACTATGCAGCCACTACTGTCCTTAAATTTCCATACAATACACCAAGCACTATGCAGCTAACACTGCCCTTAAATTTCCATACAATACACCAAGCACTATGCAGCTAACACTGCCCTTTAATTTCCATACAATACACCAAGCACTATGCAGCTAACACTGCCCTTAAATTTCCATACAATACACCAAGTGCTATGCAGTTAACACTGCCCTTAAATTTCCATACAATACACCAAGCACTATGCAGCTAACACTGCCCTTAAATTTCCATACAATACACCAAGCACTATGCAGCTAACACTGCCCTTTAATTTCCATACAATACACCAAGCACTATGCAGCTAACACTGCCCTTTAATTCCCATACAATACACCAAGCACTATGCAGCTAACACTGCCCTTTAATTTCCATACAATACACCAAGCACTATGCAGCCACTACTGCCCTTAAATTTCCATACAATACACCAAGCACTATGCAGCTAACACTGCCCTTTAATTCCCATACAATACACCAAGCACTATGCAGCTAACACTGCCCTTAAATTTCCATACAATACACCAAGCACTATGCAGCTAACACTGCCCTTAAATTTCCATACAATACACCAAGTGCTATGCAGCTAACACTGCCCTTTAATTTCCATACAATACACCAAGTGCTACGCAGCCTACCCTTCCCTTTAATTCCCATACAATACACCAAGCACTATGCAGCCAACACTGCCCTTAAATTTCCATACAATACACCAAGCACTATGCAGCTAACACTGCCCTTAAATTTCCATACAATACACCAAGCACTATGCAGCTAACACTGCCCTTAAATTTCCATACAATACACCAAGTGCTATGCAGCCACTACTGCCCTTAAATTTCCATACAATACACCAAGTGCTACGCAGCCTACCCTTCCCTTAAATTCCCATACAATACACCAAGCACTATGCAGCTAACACTGCCCTTAAATTTCCATACAATACACCAAGCACTATGCAGCCAACACTGCCCTTAAATTCCCATACAATACACCAAGCACTATGCAGCTAACACTGCCCTTAAATTTCCATACAATACACCAAGCACTATGCAGCTAACACTGCCCTTAAATTTCCATACAATACACCAAGCGCTATGCAGCCTGCACTGTCCTTTAATTTCCATACAATACACCAAGCACTATGCAGCCAACACTGCCCTTAAATTCCCATACAATACACCAAGCACTATGCAGCTAACACTGCCCTTAAATTTCCATACAATACACCAAGCACTATGCAGCCAACACTGCCCTTAAATTCCCATACAATACACCAAGCACTATGCAGCTAACACTGCCCTTAAATTTCCATACAATACACCAAGCACTATGCAGCTAACACTGTCCTTAAATTTCCATACAATACACCAAGCACTATGCAGCCTACCCTTCCCTTTAATTCCCATACAATACACCAAGCACTATGCAGCTAACACTGCCCTTAAATTTCCATACAATACACCAAGCGCTATGCAGCCTACCCTTCCCTTTAATTCCCATACAATACACCAAGCACTATGCAGCTAACACTGCCCTTAAATTTCCATACAATACACCAAGCGCTATGCAGCCACTACTGCCCTTAAATTTCCATACAATACACCAAGCACTATGCAGCTAACACTGCCCTTAAATTTCCATACAATACACCAAGCACTATGCAGCCTGCACTGCCCTTTAATTTCCATACAATACACCAAGTTCTATGCAGCCTGCCCTTTAATTTCCATACAATACACCAAGTGCTATGCAGCCTACCCTTCCCTTTAATTCCCATACAATACACCAAGCACTATGCAGCCAACACTGCCCTTTAATTTCCATACAATACACCAAGCACTATGCAGCCTACACTGCCCTTTAATTTCCATACAATACACCAAGCACTATGTAGCCACCACTGCCCTTTAATTTCCATACAATACACCAATAGCATTTTTCCCCATCATGCCCTTTATTTGTAACTTGTACCTTATTTAAGTTTCACGGCTGACAGATCAACCATGGGGTTTCAAACAGTGAAAACTATACAGTTGGTTTGTTATGATCTAAAGAAATTTAAATACATAATTCTGTAAACAACTGAAAGACAAATGAATACTAAAACTGATTAGTAACTCCTGTCAGTCAAACATTAATTAAGTTGAATAACATGAATTAAGTTGCATAATTGTTCTTGTATGTGAACAACAAGCAAAAAATGGGAAACAATGAGCATTTCTCAAACAAGTTCTGTAATGAAACTCTTCAGATATAGGATACCACTGCAGGGTGTAGAATGTATGTACCCTTACAGACAAAACACAGAACCTAATATTCTTTTTATAAATGAAACGTGATACATGTCATATAATAGAAGTACACTATCAGTAAATTATTTGAAAATTTCATACGTGATTATCAAATAAATATGCAAATTAGAAAAAATACAATCCCTGTATTTTATCTCATCAGTAAATTTTTTTTGATAATTTCAGACCTGATTACCTAAAAAAATATGCAATCCCTGCATTTTATCTTCAAATTTGTATTTGTTTGAAATCATGCATTACTGAAGTGCTGTTTACCATTTCAGCTGAGTGCATAAAATATGATCAAATAAATCAAAGATAAATACCATTCCTTACATGTATCCATATCCTAGAGTTTGAGCTTTTCCACGACCCTGGCCAAAATTATTTGTGTTTTGGAACTGACCAAACTGTGTTTGCTGCATATGGTTGTATGCAGCCATTTGTTGCTGATTCTGACTAACCGGTCCAAAATTTCTTGGTGGATAGTTGCAATATTGATTCTGTGCAAATTGGTTTTGCATGCCGTATGATCTACGCTGGTTATGATATCCACTTCTCTGTTGATATTGACCTACATTCTGGTGATATTGACCTGCATTTTGTTGATATTGACTTGCATTCTGGTGATATTGACCTGCATTCTGGTGATATTGACCTGCATTCTGGTGATATTGACCTGCATTCTGGTGATATTGACCTGCATTATGTTGTTGTGCTGGCCAACATTGATATTGACCTACATTCTGTTGATATTGACCTGTATTATGTTGTTGAGGTGGGCAGAGTGGATATTGACCTGCATTCTGTTGAGGTGTTGTACAGTATGGATATTGACTAGCATTCTCTTGTTCAGGTGGGCAGAGCGGATATTGACCTGCATTCTGTTGAGATGTTGGACAGTATGGATATTGACCTGAATTCTGTTGCTGAGATGATGAACAGCGTTGATATTGATTAGCATTCTGTTGATTATAAGTTATCATGTCTGATTGGAGACTAGATACAGATGGATTGCTTGGCGCTGATTTACTAGGCTCAATTTCTATAGCATCAGATGGTTGGTCATTATCGACAGAATCCTTCATGATAGGTTCCACTCGTGCCTGTGGATTTGAGATTACTTTTCTTGACAAATCAGCTTCGGAAATGTCTTCTTCATTTATTTTATCATCATCTTTATTCATTGTGTTATTAGAAGATGTGGCTTGTTGACAATCACTCTTTTCAGATATCTGTCCCTCATTATTGATTGAGGATTGACTTATTTCTTCCTGTACTTCATCTTCATTCTTGCTCAACTCCTCAACTATTGGACTACATATCTCATCATTTGAATTTGTTTCTTTTTCTTTCTTGACATCTTCATACCCTCTATACTGGATTGCATTTCTTACATCAGTTATTTGCTGCTCTACAAACTGGAGTTCATTCACAAGATGCTTATCAGAATCACTGATCATAGCTTTGAGAATTCTTTTTCTGAAATGCAAGAAATACACAGATTGATTCAGCTCATTTATAGTGTTTCTCTAAAGCACAAACAAAATTAAATCATCACCATGGTGACAACATCACTGCATGGATACTTATTTACTATGTACACAAGCTTCAACGAAATTGCAAATAATTTGATTTTTTTACCATTAGGAAATCAGCTTGTAGTGGTGCCAGGAATCTAATAGAACTTCATCAACATAGAACTACATATCAGTCTGTAGTAGTGCTTATACATTATACATATGTCAATTAGCAAGTAGCCATGGGGGATCGCAGACTCACCTTTTGAACTGCATGACTTGAAGAAGGAGTTTCAAGTCGTCCAATCCATACTCTAAATCAATCAAAACATCTTCATCAGCTCCAAGTTTTACATCTTCATGTGTAACTACTTCCCCCTAAGAGTAGCAAGTTAAGATAATTTAATTCATTTATTTTATGTAAACAGATCACAAGTATGTATATTATATGACTGTATTGGCATGTTCATATGTCAGTTGTAACCCAGCATTATGTCAAATTCAGGGTTGATGGTTTGGGTCAGCCTATGGGTTATTATGTAACATTATCAAGCATAGTAGACTCAGGGAATGACACACTCATCCAACACTGTAGACCAGAGTAATCCAAGGACTCAGGCAATGACACACTCATCCAACACTGTAGACCAGAGTAATCCAAGGACTCAGGCAATGACACACCCATCCAACATGTAGAGCAGAGTAATCCAAGGACTCAGGCAATGACACACCCATCCAACACTGTAGAGCAGAGTAATCCAAGGACTCAGGGAATGATACACTCATCCAACACTGTAGACCAGAGTAATCCAAGGACTCAGGGAATGATACACTCATCCAACACTGTAGACCAGAGTAATCCAAGGACTCAGGCAATGATACACTCATCCAACACTGTAGACCAGAGTAATCGCAGGACTCGGGCAATAACACATCCATCCAACACTGCAGACCAGAGTAATCCAAGGACTCAGGCAATGACACACCCATCCAACACTGTAGACCAGAGTAATCCAAGGACTGTCAAAGCCATCAGAAAATGCAGACCAGCGAAACAGCAGAACTACCAATGCCACCAGACCTTGTAGACCAGGTTAGCCAGGTGTCTGCCAAAGCCATTAGATCAAGTAGACCAGGGTAGCCAAGTGACTGCCAAAGCCATTAAACCCTGTAGACAAGGTTGGCTAAACAACTGCCAATATCATTAGATCAAGTAGACCAGGGTAGCCAGGTGTCTGCCAAAGCCATTAGATCAAGTAGACCAGGTTAGCCAGGTGTCTGCCAAAGCCATTAAACCCTGTAGACCAGGTTAGCCAGGTGTCTGCCAAAGCCATTAGATCAAGTAGACCAGGTTAGCC